GTGTTCTAATAATTTCATTTTACTTGTTCCTCGCAAGTACCGCTCCCCCTCTCACTTGGAAGTCATCAACTTACCAATCTACTCGTTTGTTATATAAAATATTCAATATAACCCTTTCGCGACGGGTGCCGTGTATATACGGCAGTCACTTATTGGTTTTTTTATATTATTATTTTATTTCAATAGCGAACTCAAAATAAAGCTATAAATACACTGGTGGCGAAGTATGGTCCACTTGCGCTTTCGCGAACGACGGCAAAGTATGGTCAGTCGTGCCGTCGCGAAAAGTGGCAAATTATGGTCAGTCGCACTGTCGCGAAAAGTAGCGAAGAATAGTACAGGTGCGCCGTCGCGAAAGGGTTAATCCTGATCGTACCACGTGTTTTTATAACGAATCGTACCACGATGTTACTCTCAATAAAAGTGTAGTATCTAGAATTCTTAGCGTATTTTTAAGAAGAGTGAATGTAAGAATGAGTGTGAGTGAAAGACAGGTGGTACAACGGTCGAGGGAAAGTGGCCTGCATAACGTCGCAGACCCAAGATTGCAGGGCCAGTTTTCCAGGTCCATCCGAGTGTTTGTGATGAGTGCGAATGAGAAGAATGCTTGTGGGCGAGAGAATGATTTTTGGGAGAGAATGCCAGTAAGAGAGATGCGGGAGGAGAGTCGTGTGTTGGCCTCCGTGGCATTGAGTTGTACTTTTTACGTGTTGTCCATGTTGTTTCCATATTTTATATTTTGACCATAGTTTTAGCTTTATTTTGTTAAATACATATATTTATTCCTAGTTCTCGATTACTCAAGATCCACTCTTTCATTATTTATACTATAGTAACACTATAGTTGCATTCTTAGGCTTGATAGTTTTTATCCTTTAACACGTTGACTGCCGCGAGAATTTCTAGCGTTTTCAATAGTAATACTTATTCTGTAACAATAGATTTACGGAGATTTATTGTATAGTTTATTCTATTGTTCTCAGGAAGATTGGTGTTCGTTTAGATGTAGGAAATGAAATGTTTAAAAATGTATCATTAGGAACCATAAGGTAATTGAATCAATCCAAATCGACACAAACATTTACCAAATAAAATTAACCCTTAGCACTCCAGATTGTTTTGTAATCTATCAGCAATTGCAACTAATTTTTATAGTATTCCTAGCGAAAATGAGAAATGCTATAACATTTCTTCGATCTTTTATTTTCCTTCTTAGTACAAAATTTGGATGTGTGGGAAATCTAATAATTTTAGGGTAGTTTCTTTAAGATTCATTAAAATATTTAATATTATAACTGGTGCAGTATTGGAGCCTACAGAATTCAAAGGGTTAATAACAAAGGCAAATGATACTGAAAATAATTATTAGTGGTTTTGTATTACAGTGGTCATATTGCACTATGATCTACCTACTTATGTTACTGATTATTTTTATTTATAATCAAGCTTTTTATTGTAATTGTTCTTCAGTAATTTGGAAGCTCCGGTCATCGGTGACCACCGTGTTAAAGATGTTTCCATGGTTTTCCCTCTAAAACTGACGACGATGCATTTTAAATTAGTTTTATTTATTTATTATGTTTCTATACCATTGAATTTTAGATTGAAAAGTATTGAAGCGTCTGTATTATCAATAGATAATAACATCTGTAAGGAGAGAAGAAATTTGCAAGGATTGAAAGAAACCAGACCCCGCCGAGATATATTAATTTTCCTCATATCTTTTGAGGTTCCCTATATTCACTGATCTGTAGGAATCGTCTGAACTACTTGGTTTTCAGTTGATATCAGAATATCCGAGCACAAAACAAATTTGTCAGAGAAGAGGAGGATAAAGCGACGGGACCTCCATTACCGGGGTTTAAGGGCGACGCGAATTTCGCTTGTCTGGGCAGAAAGAATCGCAGGAAAAAAGGTCGGCCCTGATCCAGAAATAACGTATCTCTAGTAGATCCTTCAAAGGCGCGCCAGAAACGAGCCTCGGCATCGGGCAAAGAACATAAATCCTGCCTATAAATCAAAGGGCCGGAAGAGCCCTCGGTTCCGTTCTGGCGTTTCTGGAAGCGGTCTGGCCGGAACCCGGAGAGGAATCGAAGAAAAGGAAGCCAAAGACGATTAAACCCGAATACAGAGCGAAGAAGGAAACCTCCTGCTTTCGCGAGGAATCGCGTGTCCGCCGCTTTCATCCCTGTAGTCTCGCTTCCTTGGCCGCTTATTAACCCTTTATAGGGCAAACTATTTTGTTGATGATTATTCGTATTCCCTACCGTATACATATTAAGAATACTTTTAAAAATTATCCCTTTGCACTCGGGAGTTTCCCGCTAGAAATATTTAACATTGTTTGACGAGGCGAAGACGATATTCTTTGAGACTAATTCAATGGGAAATCACAAGTACATTGAGGAACAAAGCTATTTTGTTCCAATATTTCATGTATCGGGTCATTATACAAAGTTAAATATTACAGATCAGATTTTACTGTTGTACTGTGTCAAATCGAGTGGTGACTGAGTGGTGACAAATTCAATCACGCTCTCCATTTATACTCGCATCTTTCTCACTCGCACACCTTCCACATTCTTTCGTCACCGTGCACTGACCTCATATACATTTGGAATATTCCAGTTTCGTTAGGTTGAACGTAGAAAAATCAATATTAGCAAAAACCAATATATTCTGGAATATTCCAAAGGCCATGAACATTCACACACATGCATACGGTCGTCAATCTTCTATTGCATACACGCACATTCTTTATTACCCACATTATTGAGAATAAATTTTTAGAAACATTTTTTCGAAATTTTCCTAGATTCCTTGCTTTATGGTGGCGTCTATTTGTGCCACCAACCGCTCCTACAACAGCATAAGGATCAAAATGGTGAACAGAGTCCCTGTAATTTGATCCGTAATAAAAGTGGCATCTATATGTGCCACCAACCTATAAAGGCTTAACTGTGGCATTAGGTAACGTAAACGCCGCGGAGTGCGGCCCAACGACCGTTTTTCTGACAAAACTCGACGACTTGAAAAGTATGAGTGATACAAAGAAATGTTTTAGACGGAAATTGTGAAGTATGGAGGTGAATATACGGTAGTTATATTTTTGTTACGTTATGCGGTTGTTGTGAAGTTCTTCTGACGATGGATATTTTTCGTTTCGGTTCCAATGTTAGGTAAATAGAGAAACCGAATTGATTTGCACAAAATTTTGATTTTCGAATGAAAATCATTTTATATAAATCTGAACATATGGTGGTTATATTTTTGTTATATTATGGAGATATTGTGAAGTTTTCTCAACGACAATGAGTATTTCTGGTTTCGATTGCAACGTTACATAAATAAAGAAACCGAATTGATCTGCACAAAATGTTGATTTTCGAATGAAAATCATTTTGTACAGCAGGGACTACTTAGCAACATTAATCTTCAATGTTCGTTATACGAATAGTCGAATTTAGAGGTTTTGTCCACAGGCGGCCGCACTGTGCACCGTGGCAGGTACTCCGTGGCCCTCAGGGAGCGTTACCGAAACACTTCGAACGATTCCTGACTGGTTTCCGGTCTGGGTAGAGCGTGGCCATTGTTCGGCTCTGTGTAACGGGAACGACATAAACGTCACGGTAAGTGGAACAGCCTGTCACTGATCGGACGCCGTATAACGTACTAGGATTAATCAATGAGTCCGCCGATGACCCGACTAGAACGAAAGCAACATCCTACCGAAGAAGAACAATCGATTTCTAGCTGTTTTTCGTTAATCTCTTTTATTCGATGACACTACGTTTTCACTGACGGTGGATACGACCAAAAGAAATTTCTATTAACCTGTTAACTGTGCAATTTACTTTGAAAAATCTCTCGTTTTGCGCGCAATAATATGAATAAGTGAAGTGTGTACTCGTCAAACGCAGGATGAATGCAGCTAGGTTTTATTTTCATGGAAAACTAAAGCAAAACGAAGAAGAATTATATGTTTGTGAGAGAAACTAGGGAATTTATTGTTGAAAGAGTTAGTATGATTTCAAGCTGTAAGGTGATGTGTATACTCGTTACACGCATTTAACTGGTTAAGGATTCTGATTCCAGGAAGAAAGTTATATCAGAGTAAATTATGTTTGTTGCACGAAATTTATATGAATTTTTATTCACAAGACAATTGGAAACTACAATAACAATCGTAGAATTAAGTTTTATGTTCGAAGGTGGTAACATAATTACATTATTACTTGAACGTTTAGATCATAGAAAGATTATTTGAATGTTTAAAATGGAAGTGTGATATATACTGTTTAATTTATAAAATCTACGTTTAAAACAGAAAGAAATTAACGTGGGGATTCTATGATATTAAAGCGATATTAACCCTTAGCAGGTTGTTTTGTAATCTATCAGCAACTGCAACTAATTTTTATAGTGCTCCTAGCGAAAATGAGAAACGCCATAACATTTCTTCGATCTTTTATTTTCCTTCTCGGTACAAAATTTGAAAGTGTGGAAAATCTAATAATTTTAAGGTAGTTTCTTTAAGATTCATTAAAATATTTAATATTATAACTGGTGCAATATTGGAGCCTACAGAGTTCAAAGGGTCAATTGTTACAGAAAATATGCACCAGAGATTGTTATAAAAATGAAAATTCGATGGTGAATTGTTCGCGTTAATTGAATCGTATGCGAGTGGTAAAACTGTATATTTATTCCGACAAGAGCCCTGTTGAAATTGTTATCGGTAGGTGTCCTTGTCACGAGAGAAACCGGCTTAATTCTATGTAATTAGACTGATGTCGTATCTGATTGAGCAAGGGGAACGAGTACGCGACTGGTCAGACAGCGAAGAATATAGACGTTTTTATTGATCGAGCGGTGAAAGCCTCATTGGAATAGCTATTTGACGGTGTTAATGCCGAGATAGGTAGCCGTTGATCGGTATACACACGCAACGGTGACTTGATAATGGGTTACGATAAAACTAAATGAAAGAGTTTACTTACCGGAAAAGAGTTCGAGGAATTCCTCTACACCGTACGATCCAGTGAACCTGTACGTGGAGTCGTTCAAAGCTTCCTCGCCGTGCACTTTCACCCTTTTTATCATGAAGCTTATGTTGTCTGGTTGGCCATCTTGATTGAAATCTGGGGAACAACGTTGAGAAGTCTCGTATAAGAATTTTCGCCTCACATGTCGCCTTGTACGTTGCAATAATAATCTTGAAAATTTCAATGTGGAAAATTCTATGGAACGCAGACGACACGAAGAAATACGCGAAATATTCAGATTACAATGTTTCTTATCCGATCTGATACGAGAAACCATTTTCTGACGTAATTACAACGTAATCTTGATATTTTAATTATATATTTAAAAATTCGAAAGATTATAAAATATTTTGCGACGTAATCTTAATGTGCTTCAGAAATATGCTTTCTACTCAAGACTTAACGTAATTACAACGTAATCCTGATATTCTAATTATATACTCAATAAGTTTAATAATTATAAAACATTTTCCTAATCATAATATGCTTCTTAACCAAGACCTAACGTAATTCAAACATAATCCTGATATTCTAATTATATACTCAAAAATTTCAATGATTATAAAACATTTTCCAAAGTAACCATAATATGCTCCAAAGTTCTAATTAACATTCCCAAAAACTCGAATTTCGTATAAAAGTCTACAACCGATCCGACAATCAGAATATTCTGAAAGGGGTTGAAAAATAGCAGCCCCTGAGCAGGGAGGTTTCGTAAAATGAGAAAGGGACAGAGTTTTGTTGCAGAATGGTCGTGTATACACGAAATGCATAGGATTTGAGAGGAACTACTCGGCGAGGTAACCGATAGCTGATAACGAAAATCACTAGGGCCTCGAGACGAGTAATTTTCGGGTTCCCCCAGTGATCAGCGTATCCCCGAACGGTCCGACCGTCGCATGGTGGGAAGCATTTAATCAAACACCTCCTCCGCGGGGATACCAATCGAAACTGGAAAAACGGCCCCGTGACACGCGACCGCGATACCTTCCCATCGACGAATTTATGCGGAACGGCGCCGATCTCGTGACTTTCCGAAACGTAAAAACCCCGTACGCTGCCCCGGGAATATCGTTTCCCCCAATTGTATTCGACGTTCGCCAGGCTGCCCGTTAAACGAGGCCATTTGAAAATTGAATGCACTCAGAACGGAATTGCATTTTAGAAACTTGCATAATTTACTTGAAACCAGCATCTGCAAGCCTCCGAGTATTTCGGAGTGGAATCGGGTTACACGGTTAGAATTACCGTTCAAAAAATACCTGTTATTGTACAAACGAACAACTGTTGCTCAGCGAGAAAGTTACATGAAAACGTTTAAATTTCATGCAGGGGAATTCTATATGCAGCTGGAACGAGTAAACGAGATTTCATAAAATTTAACGGGGCCCAGATTCTTGGAATGCTATTAGACCCAACCTTACCTAACCGGACGTTAAAAGTAATCTGAAATGATCTCTATCGCTGAAAAGAAATTCGTTCTTAAATGTATTAACGCTTTGACATATTTTATATTTGATATTTGATATCACAGTTCGTACAATACATTAATGTTCGAAATATTGGAAGAAAATAGTTTCGTGCCTCTATTTTTGTGGAGTTTTTCAAGTCAGTTTGAAAGAACATTGTTGGCACCACTGAAAAACGTCGAATGTTTCCAATGAGAAATTTCTGCAAAGGATCAGTAGTTAATTTAAATTAAAAATTCATTCCTGAACATCTCAAAATTCCAAATAAAATTCATTCCTGAATATCTCAATGCTCAATTGAAAATAAAGTTCATTCCTAAACCCGTTAACAGGCATAAATCTGGTATTCTCCTGTTCCAGTGACAACAAGTTTAATCAGTTCTTTGAAAATTTGTTCCTGATCATCTCAAAATTCCAAATAAAGTTAATTCCTAACCACGTTAACGCAATACAAACGAAAAATTCATTTCCAAAGACCACATCGACCTTCTCATAACAGGAATAAGAGAATACCAGATTTATTCTCTTTCCCAGCGAAACTCGGCTAGAATTCCAACCGCAACACGTTGTCCGTGTCCTTAAGCTTCGAATAATAACCCGGATCTGGCAATTAAGAATTAAAGCCACCGTGAACTACTCCGTGAGACGTTCCGGCACAAGTGACTCAGCCCTGCGACAGCAGTTCAAGACTGCCACGCGCGCGCGGCCCTTGAACGTCAGACCAAGCGCTCCGTTACACCCATATCTCGCGTGTAATATACGCGCGCCGTCGGTAATTAACGCCGGGTCCATTGTATCCAAGTTTAATGCCGCATTAATCAGCTTTGGCGTGGCGCGAGCGCGTCGAAAACATCGGTAGCAGAACTCGAAGCGGGGAAGGGGACTGGCTAAATAATGCAAACAGACCGACCGGAAGTAGGCGGGATACGCTCACAGACAGCTGAAGGCAGCCAGCGACGGCGGCGCCGCGTATTGACACGGCGGAACTCCTCATGCATATGCTCATGAGAATGTGCCCCATGATTTAAGACTGGCGGGGCCCGCGAATAAATGGCTTTCAATTTAAACTTTAATTAAAATTCGCGGTAATAGCCGGGCTGCGGATGTTCGTGCGCTTACAGCGTGCACCGGCCGGATACATAATGCTGTTTCTCAGTATTTTCGTGTATTAAACTCTGAACAATCCGAAATAGTTCGGCAAGAAGATAGCCCCGTCTGTTGACGAAGGTATTCGGGAGTTTGTCTTTGAAGAGAGGAGATTGTGCAAAGAGGTTTCCAAGCTTTATGTTAATATGTGTCCCTGAAAAAATGATTTTTCGTGTCTGCCTATCTTTTAATACTTTGCAATCGGAAGTGTTTTACTAAAAATGTTTGAACATTGTCCGATGAGACAAAGATATTTTCTGAAACCAAGGGAAATATGGATATTGAGGAGTCAGTTTAAGTACTCGGTGGTTCTAATGTTAACAATCATTTTCCATAGTAGTTCTATTTTTCTAATAATATTTTTGAAATTCGAAATCGTACAGATATACTGTCTACTGATGAGTTTATGTGAATTTTTGTAACCCTTTGCACTTTGTAGGCTCCAGTGTAGTATTATTTATAGTAATTATATATATATATATATATATATATATATATATATATATATATATATATTATAGACCTAACCAAACTTTGTAAGGCCGGAGGAACATTTCTTGATAAATAAACGCTTTTATTATTTATAGTGACAAATATTTTAGTAATCGAAGTTGGAGAAACTGCTGTCCACGCACCGAAATTTCTCTCTAAGAAGAAAACTGAAAAATCATGGATAAGTTAGAATATAACATTTTTCGTGTTTCACTAGGTAAAAGAGTTAAATGTCATTCGAACAAATGGAATGATTAAAAAATCTATTTTTCTAGGGATATCGTAAGAAGCATTACATTTTGAGTGGTTCATATATTCTTTCCATTGTGTGTATTCTATTAGATTCCTCAGTTTCTCGTGAACGCGTGAAGCTTTGAAGTCGAGTGATACGGAGTAAGTGATATTAGAACGTTTTTAGTCAGACAGTCGGATAACGAGGGTTCCGTGCCGATTTCTGCCAAGGTAAACCGAATATTAATTGAAATCTTGCGGAAACGGGTGGAACAGGTTTGCTGTTCGTTTGACAAGAGGCAAGAATCCGCGGTCGGACAGGTACGTTCCGTAGACACTTTTAGATCGCTGACTGATGATAAGATAATGGCGAAGAAAGTAGAATGAGTCCGGGTATAGTCGGGCAAAGTAGAACGAAACAATTCATGCGCAGGCACGAACATTTGAGCCACGATTCTGCGATCGTTTCAGCCAGATAGCGCAGCAACAAAGAAATCAGAATAACATCGTCAATCATCGCTTAAGTAGTTCATATCAGTCTCCAGTCAGACAAGGACACAAAGTGAATACTGTAATTTTGGGAACGGTAAATTCACATGCCACAGAAATAAATGAAGCAGAACTTCATAAAATCTCCAATTTTAAGTAGATCATGTCAGCTTCCAGTCAGACAAGAACACAAACCGATCACTGTAATTTTTGGAACCGTAAATTCACATTTCGCAGAGATAAATAGAGCAGAACTTCATAAAATCTCCAATTTTAAGTAGATCATGTCGGCTTCCAGTCAGACAAGGACACAAACCGATCACTGTAATTTTAGGAACCGTAAATTCACATTCCGCAGAGATAAATAAAGCAGAACTTCATGAAATCTCTAATTTCGAAGTTACTGTAACTCCGAGGCTCGCAAATTCGCACTACGTAGCGATACATAAATTAATGTAACACCTCCCTACAATGTCCAGATTACTATAATTTATAAACCCGTTAGGCACACGTTGATAAGTGGAAAATAAAGTAACTCCGTATATATCCGAACAAGTGGAATGAGATGACGTGTGATCAGACTCACGAATTAATCGCATCGAAACGAGTGTAAAGCAAACAGTATAAAGTAATCAGTATAAAATAACATATTGTCGGAGGACTATAATTATCCTAGCACACTTGAAACAGAATAATTACTAACATTACTGTTCCGAGCGAAGGAGCAAGCTGCATCGAGGAACGCCGCAGCACGCGTTCGTCTTAATAAATAATTCCGAGCTGATCGTCGTGTGATAGCGTCACGAGCGCGCCGGTTCACGTGCCGATGTCGTAAAAAATTAGTCGGCCAAACAAATAGACGGGTAACGCGTCGCGTGACAGCTGTCGGAAATAAACTTTCCTTTTTCTCCCCTCGTGCTCCCCGTTTTCGGTTCACGTGTGCGACCCGCGGATAAGAATCGTGAAACCGACGATCGCGGCACACCTGTAATGACTAAGGCTGTGTTTACATTGCAGCTTCGACGTTAGTGGAAAGAACGTTGATCGCAGCGTCGATAAAAGCTATTGAAGATAGCTTTCTTTGTAACGGGACTACGACGATCGCGTGGTTTCGATTGTTCATGCGGTGGGTTCAGTTTAATAATTAACTACAGGCACTGTACATGACTTTGAAGTACATTGATATATTTTTATATAATTTGTACTTTGCAGTTTCTATTTACAGTATCGCATGATAAAAATAATCGTTTACTCCAGGGCGAATGAGGT